TGTTGTTGTTGTAGTAAGATTTGAATATTTGTATGTAAAAAAAGAAAAAAAGTGTAAGTATAAAGTTTTACACACTGCACAAACGTTGCAGTGGAAAAAATTGTACGATTTTACAAATATATATTAAAGCATTGTGATTTTTTTCAAATGGGGCCAAGTAAATAAACGATGATGACAATACATAAAAAATGAAAAAACAAAAAACAAAAAAAAAAAAAAAAACAGCGCACAGCATCCGCCATTCCTCATAAAAAATGTAATGGAACGAAAATGGCCCTGTTTAATCGTAAAGCTACAAAAACAACTAACAAATTTTTATGACCATAATGAGATACAAAATTAAAGCTTTGAAATGTTTATCTAAAGTAAACGATTGCTGTAAAATATTACTGAGTTACATTGCTAGGAACACTTCGTACCTTGGTCTGTCGATTACTAGACGTAGTGGCCAGCTCGACGATTCTGGGTAAAAATGGATCTGAAATTCAAAACGATAACTGATTAAGATGGGGCGGCGCAGATACCACAGGGGAGGGGAGGGGAGGGGAGGGATTGGAAGCATGGCATGTGCAGATTGTACATTACAATAGCAGAAACGGAAATCAAAGATAAGAACTTCCCTAGGAAAACATTGAACGACTATACAAATGTAACATTATGGGACTGAATAGACCTCTTTTTACCTTCGTATGCAAGTTACCCATTTCAGTCCACGTGACATTCCCTTGAGAATTGTTCTTTTATTATGAAAGTTTCATAAAAATATCAACACATGAAAGAATCAACTCCCAAGAGTGGCATCACATGGTCTGAAATGGGACAACAAACAACGAAGGTAAATAGTTCTATTAAGAGAAAGATGTTTAACCCCATAATTCCATGCACGACAAATGGGTACCAGTCTTCCCCGAACTCAAGTAAAGACTTTAAAAAATTGGTTTTACAAGGGAGATTTTTTTACCGAGGTATATAGTTGGCTTCATGTCTTGAAATGGCACAGCGAACGACAGATGGTTTGTGGTATCCCAGGCAACGGCTCGAGATGGATCAACAGCGATGTCGGATCCAAGGAGACCGAGATTCACAGCACCTCCTAGAGTACCGAGAAGGCGAAGAATRCGGCTTCTTATCTTGATTAGCGGACCTTCTGTGCTCTATCAAACGCAACCAAAGATAATATATATAATAAAATATCTATAATATGTTAGTCTGTATTTAACAAAAACAAAAAACAAAACAAAAATTGCATTAACCACAAGTTATCCCCAAACGCTGTTTTAGTAGAGACAGCGCATTCTTTGAACAGAACGTATGTCCAGTTTGCCAAAAAAATATCATTATTTTTTAGTAACTAAAATCAAATTTCCCAGTTATTACGACTGAAATAAGCTTACTTCTTTGTCGACTTTTGAAGATTTTAACAACTTTACAGGGATCTTCCTTCCCCTTGTTGATGACGTTGCCGTTGCCATGGTAATTGTTTTGCTTGCCTCTTGGGAGAAATTATCTGATATAAATAAAAGGAAAAATAAGTGAAAGAATGAAGAGATGAATGAATAAATAAAGGAAGGAAGGGAGGGAGGGAGGGAGGCAGGCAGGCAGGAAGGAAGGAAGG